AGTTTCGCGAACGGGATCATGGATGAGCATTGCTGAGGAGCCTCAAACTAAGACGAAACAACCCTCATGAATTCAACTATTAAAAATGCTACAATTTCCACAAACCCCATTCTGATCATAAAAACAGTATTAGTCATCACATACTTCAACTATGTAATATTTGTTTCGGATGGGTGGCAAATTCACAGATTAAACATGATTACTTGTACTACAAAAAATATTTAATCTTTAATAACACTTACATGAGTTATACTCTGAAATAAAGAATAAATATAAATCACGTCAGTATTAATAAAAGTGGTAACAATAATAAATCGTATGCTTTTTATGGTGACCCGTTTATTAATAGGACAATTAGCCAGTTTATAATAAAACCTATTTTTTCTGTTTTATTATTTTACCATTAATCTAAACAACAAATAACAAATGTAATTTAATATTCATTTTTAAAAAGAAACTGCCATCTAGCGAAAAACCTATGATTCATCAACCTTAATCCGTAACAATTATTTAGTTACATTTGAAAGTTAAAGTTGTACTGGTGAATTCAAATTTATGATCTTGATGATACTGATAAATAAAAGGAGGGTAGGGATTGATTTGACTAGTGATAATTCATAACTTGTAGAGTTCTGAGATGTCGAGAATGAAACAGTCATCATTAATGACATACGATGTTAGCCAACCGATTGAAAGCAGAATTGTATTATCGAACCTTGATTTAGTAGTTCTAATAGTTAAGCGTCCGCCTTGAGTCTCGGAAGACCCATAATTGGGTCATGTCTGTGCATTGATTCGAAGTCCCATACTACGATAGAACAGCTATCCAGTATTTCCGAACTTCTAATGGCATGGTAGATCACTCAGTTACCTATGTGTTATGATTAACTATTAAAGACTGCATTTGAATTCTAGGATAAGTACATGATTATGTTGAGTTCATCAGACAGAGTTTGACAAATTTATGTGAATCCTAAAAGTCGTATTTTATAAATGTTTTGCTATTCATTCATATATGGTATAACATACATGAAATCTCTCTTTCACACAGTATAATAGCTTTTCATTCAATACGTTTTAGTAAGCTAACTGTAATGAAAATTCTTACAAACCTTACTTGACATAAAAGGTAAATCATATGACAATATGTCAAGAATAATTCTACATCTAAATAAAAATGATAATCCTATCGTTAAACCAAAATATTCTTTGTTTTCCATTTATTATGTAAATATTGTTTAACATTGATTGATAATATCTAGAAGTATCTCTCAATTTAAATCATATTTCTTTTTCCAATACTTGTGACAGTTTAAATAACCACACCAAGAAATATTTTCATAGTTTGAAATCATGAACTGATTTTAGCTGGACCATCTTTGAAAATGTGGAATTCTGTAATTTCCACAAATCTCCCTATACTAACGGTAAGCATGTGCTCACTGGTGATCCACTTCAAGATGCAACACCTGGTGTTCTAGTGAAAAGCTATGATCAGTGGAGTTCAACCATGTCAAATGTAACAGTCATCCACCTCATGGAATGAACAAGGATTGTGCAATATCGTGAATTGATTTAAGTTAAACATTCACACCACTGTATAACCGCTGAGTTGTTTAGAGGGCAAGCATTCGCATGCGAGATCGAAGTCCCTGGGTTCGATTTCCCGAAGTAGAGTCATAGAAGTGCATTGCTGAAGAGTTTAATATTGTGGCGAAACATCTATCTTTTACTTCCTGGCTTACAATAATGGTCTATCTGAGATCAGTTCGTAATTTTAACTATGAAAATTCCCCCTATGCCAAAAAAATATTTTTAAATTTGATGAATTCAGACAATGGTATATTTAGATAATATAACACTGAATGAAATAATAATAATAACAATACAATAATAAAAATACAACAGAATAAGTTTACTAGTCAGTAACCTAACGTACTCTAATGTTATTCATCGTTGGTAAATAAATAGCCTAACTTTGATGAGAGTACACACATAAAAATTATTTAACCAGTTAAATTGGAATAACTAATTAATGACTGTGTTATCAATATTACTAGAAATTACATAATTCATTTTGAAAAAAATTTCTACAGAAATGTATTGTTAGTGGACGGTAATTAATAATCCGACAGAAGAAAGAAAAAAAATTATAAATAAATAATATATTTGTAGTATCCCAATGAGTAGAAAATTAGATTTTCTGACGTTTCGTGACTTAATATAAGTCGCCTCTTCAGAGAATAAATAACCAAATTGTTCCTTTGTACTACTTAAACTTGGATTAATTTTAATTTGGTTATTTATTCTCTGAAGAAGTGATTTACACTAAGTCACGAAACGTCAAAAAAACTAATTTTCTACTCATTGGGATATTACAAATATATTATTTTTATTTATAACAATCAACCCAATGCTCAATTTATTCGAAATTATCAAATCAAACCTTGGTAATGATACCTACAAAGAAAAAATTGTTTACAATTTTCTGCTGCTCTATACATAGTTTCCTTATATATATTTTTTTCTAAATTAATTTATTACGTACCCACTGACGAAAACTACTTCCTTTTTTTAAGTCGATTAATTGTATTTGTATTATGTCAATGAAACAAAATGGTATTGTTATTGGTTAATGTTAATTTACTATAATTCAAGTTTTATTATTTATTGTTTCATTCTGATTGGTTAAATAAAATGAATAGATATTCTTATACTTACATTTCATGATGTAATTGAATCAAAGTCATTTATCATTTTTTTTAAAAAAAATTCGGTTTTCTTTCTTTTGTTTGTTTGAAGAAATGTAATTTAAGTCATGACTTTGAATTTAGGATTTCATTTAGATAAAATTGCATTTTATACCATAAAATCTAGTGAGAAGTCGTTACCACTGGAGTTCGACCAGGTCTGTTGTGAGATATCAGCTCACTGAAGACAATGGTGTGCGCTGGTGCAACTTCGTGGATTGGTTGAAGTTAGAAATTAACACTATTAGATACCGGCTCAGTGGTCTAGTTGGTTAAGCGCTTGGCTCGAGACTGATAAGTTCTGAGTTCAAATCTCGCGGGAGCGAGATCGTGGATGCGCACTGCTGAAGAGTCCCATACTAGGACGAAGCGGCCATCTAGTGCTTCAAGGTTTTTCATGGTGGTCTAGCTTCAATTGACTCATGATTTCAACCAGTGAAATTTCTAAAAATCTCCACATAACCCATTCTGATAATAAAATCTATTTAACCAATAAAGAAATTCATTACTTTAAAACATTGTGTTTGATAAATACAGAAATAGTTTTAATAAATATTAATATTTGATTTTATTTAGTTACATAATAATAATTTTCGCTTTCATATTGAATTACTTTGCTATAAGATTGAATAACGGTCGTACTACACTGCAATTTAATTAAGTTAGAAATCTAGAAGATTATTTGATAACAATTTATTAACTGAATGTCAAATAGTATTTGTCATGAGATTTAAAGGTTTTCAATTCAGATTCCGTGTACAGGAAGGTAACTGTAGGTGTGTATTGTTGACGAGTTAGTTTTAAATCGAAGACGAAAACAAAAATCCAACTTCATCGTAGCTTTGTGGTCATTCATGAAAACTATCTGTTAAATTCTGTTTTATCAGAAGGGGTTTTGTGGAGATTGTAGTAGTTTCAATAGCTGAAATCATGAGTCAATTGAAGCTAGATCACCATGGAAAACCTCGAAGCACTAGATGGCCGCTTCGTCCTAGTATGGGACTCTTCAGCAGTGCGCATCCACGATCTCGCACCCCGCGAGATTCGAATCCAGGACCTAACAGCCTCATGCTCGGGCGCCTAACCATTAGACCGCTGAGCCGGAATCCAATGGTGTTAATGTCTGACTTCAACCAATCTACGAAATTGCGCCAACCATCCTGCCCTCCTCGAGATCGTGGATGCGCACTGCTGAGGAGTCCTATCCCGGGACGAAACAGCTGTCCAGTGCTTCTCGGTTTTCCATGGTGGTCTAGCTTCAATTGACTCAGGATTTTAACTACTGAAATTCTATTTTAATTGAAATATTCATCTTATCTAGTTAAATTATTTAGATAACTAGTAGTGTTAAACAGTTTATTCTAAAGTTAATATTGAGTTATATTTGAAAACTTCGAATGCATACGTATCAGAATAGAACAAGACGATGATTTTACAATTCTTAACAACCAAATATTATCAGCAAAGATGTATGGTAGCTGGCAATGTAATCTATTACGCGCATTCTGTCCTATTTGGGACTCGTCATCTGGATGTACCTGCATCCCAGAGTTGATGTCCACTCAGGAACTCGAACTCAGTACCGTTCAAATATAATCAGTTCCATCTCCTTTAATTTAAAGTAACTGGATATAATTGACAGGAAGCCCTCTTTCACTTAGGTTGAGTGCTAGTTGGTCACTCGTCAACAAAGTTTGTTTTCAATCTTGAAGAACTGGTATTCTTCGTTCGATTCGAATTCATGTCACCCAGATGTTCGCCTTTCATCAAAACAGTGTACACAACTGGATTTGCAATAAAAAGATTAGACAGATGTTCACCACTTAGTGATCAATGAATGAATGTTATTTTACAAAATTACTTTCTGAATTAATTTAAAATCAATATTATCGGATCAATAAATTATTGGCGAACTTGTAAATATACACTTATGGTATTGTTTACATAGTTTATCAAAGTCATTTCGTTTTGAGAACTAGAAATGTATGAATTAAAATAATAAACGCTAAAACTGAAATAGTATTACAACTAAAAGAATAAACGCAAGCCCAAACCGAGTAAGAAAATTGGCAATGATGGATAGAGGAAGAATTATTTTACACACCGGTTTATTTTACGAATTAATAGTTCAAACTTGAATACAATAAAGTGTAATTAGCGATTCACGACTGATCAATCAATAATTTCTAGTTCAAAAACCAATCTACTAGTTTTGTAAGGATCTGAAAAACATAATTTACAAAAGCAATAATGATTTTATTTATAGAGTTATTATATGATTACACTTCTGTCTTAAAACTGCTCTTCAATTTAAGATTGAGTAAGAATTACACACAAAAATATTTCGCTAGTTGAAAATATAGCCCATTGAGTTTCGAACTTAATAGTCTGAAAGTATAATATTCACTAATAAAATCGAAGTCTATTCTTCCAGATTAGATCTTAAGAACAAAAGACGAGTTTCAAAATAGGAAAAGATATATACTAAATGTTTTGTCAATTTCGAACATTTTTTTGTTTCTATTACCATTGTTAAAAGAAATATAACAATTATAAAAGCAAGGGATGATATTTTCTCAACCATTAAGTAATTGTATGTTAATGTTACATTAATCCATCTCCGATTAACGTCTTTGTAGAGGGATTTTGTTTTTCGAGATGGGGTTGTGAATCCTATATTCGATCCAATTGCTAACGCGGACTTAACACTAGCAGTAACTTTAGAGGGGCGTTAAGTTAAGCTGTAGTTACAGAATATGATAGTAAAAATATGAAGTATTATTTGTAGGTTTTATTCGTTACAGATTGACCTCAGTCGAGATACCACTAAAATCCAAGGAACACAGGAAAGCTGATTCATCTTAGTATGTAACTCTTCAGAAGTAGACATAAGCGATCCCACTAGGCATCGAATCCAGGACCTCTTAAGGCAAACATTTAATGACTACGACCACTGAGTCGGAGTTTAATAGAATAATCTCAATTTCAATCAATTTGAGATTTAGAACAATGGTTAACAACGGCATCTTGACTGAGATCAATCCGTGATCTAATACAATCTGAAAGTTAATATCAATCTTCACGAAACTCCAACTAGACAGATTATTATTATCAAATGGGCGAATCTGATTTATTTATGATTAGAATCACTCAACTTTTAACCAGAAGACTACAAATTTGAACTTTGATCTATGTACTTCAAAGTTCCTATTCTTTTTAAAAACGAAGCCGTTTTGTTACTCGGATGTTGAAATCAATGAGTTGGTAGATTACAAATCATTTACGTTTTACATAGACATAATATTGATTGATGATCCAATCTTTTATATTTGAATTACATAATATTTATGTCTAGAAAATTATGTACTTTAAATACTACCTGAACATTTTCGTCCCTATTTCACTACTGTGAAATAAAATAATGTATTGATATATATATATAATAAATCATGAAATGTACCAAATCAATGACTTCCAGGTTCGCTGCTACAGAAGCTCAACAGACTGCAAAGTATTGGGACTCGTGTGTTCTCTCCATGTCGTTATTTAGACTAATTACCTATATTTGTTCTTTTTTACTTATTTTAACTGGGAAGTGAATGTATAAATCAGAAAATTAGATAAAGAAGAGGATGCGATAACATATATTTTTAGGTGTCAATCTGTCAATGTTACATGAGAAGCTGAACAAAACACACTATTTGAATCAGAATGAAATTGACACTTGTTATTAAGCGATTAATTCAGATCATAGTTAAATTAATAAAAAAAGCAAACCAGGTATCTGAATTTTATCAATAAATATGATAACCTAAGAAAAGTAACATCAAGTTTATCGCGAAATTTAAATGTTCACGGTTCGATTTTTTGTTCCACTGATAATGAACGCATGTGTCTAGCGCCTATGCAGTCATGATTTGGGATATAATAAAAATCACTGTTCAATAATTCATACTTTCAGTGGTTATTCAGTAACGAAAAATATTATTTTCTAGACAATAACCTTTCACATCACATCAAAGATAATGTATAAAGGAAAAAGGATTTTTTTGTCATTAAAGCATGATCATTGTTTTCAGGATTTTCGATTGTGAATCTTTGATCATATAATAAATATGCACAACTTACATTTGTCATAAAATGTTCATGAGTATATTTTTATTAATCGAAATAACTACATTTTATGGTCAATGAGCGTTTGATTTGTAAAATGTATGACAAACATTTTTAAGTCAATTGAATTGTTATGGCAACTACTGATGACGATTAAAATACACACTTTCCGAATTTTCACAGTTTGCTAACTTGGTAACCAATAAACTATGGATTGTATGAAATACCATTTACTAAGCACTTAACTGTTCAAATCAAAAGCAAATTACAATAAAATCTTAATCTAGAACTAACAACTAATTAAAAGGAGAATGCATTTTTAACTATTAAGTCACAGCTACGCGATGTATTTTGACAATTAGGAAAAATTATTGTTTAAGGATTAGATACAATCGGGGGGGGGAATTAAAACTAGGTGGTGATTAGTGGTGGAATCCAGAACCAATGTTTCATTGTATTTAAAACTTATATTCTCTTATAAGGCTTGTGACTTAAGGTAATATCGAGGCAGTCCGTACAGGATGCACATATGCCGACAAGAGACTGATCAATTGAAGTCCTAAATACCAATGGGAAGATACAAATAAACAACACCAAGTGAATTTAAATCTATAATTTAGATACCGACAGATTTTAGTTTAACAACAATTAAAATCTATGACGTATTGGACAACTGGTAAAGTCCAAGAATGAGACGTTTCAACAGTTTACACTGATGATATCCAACTAAGATTGAAGCTAGGAAATTCAGATTTTGTGACAAGTGTATGACTTTTTGACTACTTAACCGATGTCCACAATTAAATAGTCCCATTCTAGGACGAAACAGTTATCAAACTCTCCATACAACAGTAAACGCTTTAATAGTTTGCTTTTTACAAAACCGTTCACAAAAAAATTAGCACACAAATATTCGAAATTTCGTGCAAGTAATTAGCAGGAGGAAATCATAAATACATTACAATTGTATATATAATTTGATCATATAAATTTTTTGAAAAGAAATCATTCCACTGAATTTCATATATTTTTTGAAGATTGTATTCATTATAACAAGTGTATTTTATTAAGTAAATAGAACAAACGGAAAATCTTTTTAAATGAAACGAACATCAAAGTATAATGTCATTAATAATAATCATTGAAAATTTTCTACTAAGTGAATTTCACAAGTGATATAACTCAAGCAATATCCAACGAACTACACTGTTACTAATATCAAACTTTAGGGGAATATTTCACAGTATGAATAATGTGAAAACAGATGTAGATAGTATAGACTAGTTAAAGAGTATTCATTTTTAGTTAGTTAATTATCCTACTAAAAATAAGCGCTTTATTCAACTATACACTTGGCCACTACCGATTGTAGACTAAAACTTTATTCGTAGGATAATTATCTATTTGGTCAAATAATTCAAGTTTTTTTTCTAAAATTAAACTAATTGTTTTGTCATGACTTGTTTACAAAGGGGGGCGGTTAACTAATTATCGTGATCATTCTTACACAATAGATGGAAGAGAATAGAACACTAAATACCTAACAGGATTTCCTTACTAATAATGCTCATTATTTGATGTAAAGTAGTAAAGGTCATAAATAATTTTCTAAAGCCTTTTTTTACCAGATATTTTGATATTATTGAGTATTTCGGCTATATTTTGGTGGTCAAAACCATTCTAGAAGTATAAAGTATGGGATAAAGTAATTCTACACATTCGATACAGTATTGTAAATCTAGCATTAGAAATGCACTAGTTGTGAAGATATTTCATAACACTATCACAAAAAACACTAAACACTGAGCAGCTTATGGCCAAAGAACAAATACCTAGAACTTAAACACAAAAATTAATCAAAACAATAAAAGACAGTCAATCGAAGAGACGTATGTGTTTTTTATAAAAACTGATTGACCCACCACCACATAGTTAGAAATTTAGTGAGGACAACCAACTTTAAAAGTGGATGAATGCCATTGGAGGAATGAATGTTTAGGCCTGTCTAGCCATTCTTTTGTCCTGGTAACTATGTTAAGTTAAATCTATATTGAGCGGATAAACAACACACCACCATTATCTACAATACGATTGGTTGATAAAAATTGCAAAGTAATCAGCGGAAAATTTTCAAGGTTCCCTTAATAATTTTTTTCTATTGGTTTTCAGTTGACCCCGCGAAGAAAAAAGGATTTAACGCACTAATTTTTGAATGGTTGAATTTGAATAATACACAGGGGTAAAGAACACATATTCAACTAGAAAGGGGGTAGAGATGCAATCAGTGAGTTAGTAAGTAACACTTCATCATTTGTGAATAAGGGACGTTCAAGTTAACACCAGCCGGATTACTTACTTGGATTATAATTCTAAGCGTCATTCGATTTTTTTTTGAGAACACCTTATGCTTTGGCTACATATCTAATTTGGATTATAACTTTAAACTGGATAATTATGCATAATCTCGTTCACGAACTTCTGGTGTATATCGAGTTGAACATCTTGTCGGAAAACGAATACGTGGGGTAAGTATTTGAAAATAACTGGTTTTAGATACACTTTGAAATTCTGTTTCATATATTTCTCACTTTCTTCATTCAGTAATTAATAAATTAACAAATAGTATGTACCAAATAGTGCTTTTGATTCTCAGAGTCAATCATACGTTCATTGTGAGTACGGTGCATCACATATTTTCCCATTACTTATCCTAACTATTAAATTAATACTTGTTTTGTTACCAGTAGTCATAGCCATAGTGAAAACGAAGTATTACAGGGTGAAAATAGATGGTGGTTTATAAATCCATTGATAATAATGTAGCCTCTGTGTGAAATATGCTAAAGGAATAAATACTTGTTCTCTAAAGAAGTGGCTTACACGTCAAAAACTCTAATTTTTCTATTCATTGGGATAATACAAATATATTATTTTTATTTATAATTATCTACCCAATGCTCAATTTATTTGATAATGATACCTACAAACTCATTATATGCCGAGGGTTTATATTCAATATAATATTTTAGACCACTTGAAATGATCATGACCCAGCAAATTTCGTGATTTTCGCATTTTATAATTAGTTCAAGGTACTTTATTTATAGATTTACTTCCAATGACTACGATCGAACTACTAAAATGACCAAATATTTCAAGTAATCTAGATTTTGTTATCTACTACATGCATGCATTCTCTAAAAATATTATATTGTAAGCCAAATGTATTTAAGTCTAAGATCAAGTCGAAAAAATATTCGGAAATAATTCACACAGTAAGCAACATATTAACAGTAAAGGTCCAAGATAATACTGTATAACTATAATGTATAACAACTGTACCGTACTACAGTATCCGTTCCTAAAACTTCACTTTGTGACTATATAAGCCACATGACTGAACTAGCATTACCAGGTAGTGGTGTCGTGTAAAACAATAAAAACTGTACTACGTGAGAACTGCCTAACAAATCAGGTTTATAGGTTTATTGAAATTTATTGGTCTATAGTGGTCCGTTAATCATAGATGATGTGTCCCAAATTTACCATGTATACATTATTACGTAACACACTGGGGAAATTGTGATGCGTAGTTTGATCTCCTAAGGTTTTTGAAAGCATGTGCTTTGGTCACTAAACTACTAAGTTCGCGGGCGTTCAGATTATGTACGAATTCAAAAGGCCTGAAATAGAAAGTTCTTGGGATTTAACGCGATATTCATTCATCTAAATCGTTAAATAGCATTTTGGCATTATAGTTGATATCGCTTTGTAGTGAAGAGCGTCACGTTTTGCTTTAGTCCCAAATCCTCACACCCTCATGTAACCATCTTGTGAAACTAGTAACCGGTTAAATTTCCCATGACATTTTAGTATCACTGATAGGTCGTCGATAAATCATAGCCCTACCAACAAGTCAATATATGTAACTTTCAAAGAATTCAAAATCTACATTCCTACAATATATATCAAATTTTCGGATTCTAAGAAATACATATTAACGAATTAAACTTTTGTTTTATTGAGATTATTCTAAATGCTTACTTAATGTCTTTGAATTGACCATCTATTCTAATTCTCATTATAGAGTCGTGTAGAATACCTAGTGAAATGGAAAAATTGGTCTGACGAGTAAGTATTCACAAACCTAATTTTTTTTTTCGTTATATTACAAGTAATTTCTGTTTTCGTCCATATTTTAATGGGAATCCAGGAATTTCAGCAATGAGTTTTAATCAGTCTTCACAACTCGCTTATCATTCAAATAAACTAGAAAGAAAATATGGTTGTCTGCCCACATCTATTCTAATGGCTTATTGGTCAATACTTGTTTTTGATTGGCTGATTATATATGCATTGATCTATAATTCGACCTTCATATTAGCCTGATTTCTACCCCCAATTATTTGACCTTACGGCCTAGTCTTAGAGCATTAGACACGGCCTTGGAGTCAACACATCTGGTGTGTCCCATTTTGGCCTGATAACTTGATCTGATCTGGAGGTGACCCATTTACTGTAGACGCTTATTTTTTCTGTAAGCGAATACATTTATGGCAAGCTAATTCTAAAGAATTAGTTTTCTTATTAAACAATAAACCGCAGCCGTTACTAAGCTTGTTTGGATGTAAACACTTACTATTCATCAACGGAGTTATAATAAACAACTAGCATTTTTCGTGTGTTAGGTACATTACATGTAAAAATTAAATTTAACAACAGGCAGGTAACATTGCTTTGTTCCTTTTCATGATGTTGTCAGCCTTATTCCAAGATGCATAACTTCAATCAATCACTAAGATATCTCCTAATATTAAGCAGTTCTCTATTACGTCCAACTACATTCAAAATAATTATTTTCCAATTAAGTGACTAGGTTTACATGCACAAATAGTAATTGTAGAAATAATTAACTTATTCTACAATAGATATTTGGCATAGTATGAGATTCTCATCACGTTTTGGAATGTGGACGTGTCACGTTAAGGATTTTATTTATTTGAACACATAAATATTGGTACAAAAGGGCACCAAATATATATGCGCCACACAAAACACTGGGAATTTGAAGAGGAGAAGGAAAAAAGGTGAGGAGCGTTAAAAAAGAGCAATAACGAACAGAATACGGTAAGGTAGCGTAACAATAATGGGGGAAAAGAAAGGTGCAATCAGAAGAAATCTTTCAGTAAAGGAAGATACAACCACTTTTTATGAAGAAAGTAAAAAATTACAGCAGGATCGCCACTGTGTCGCACCGTCTTTTGGACCAACAGCAGCCAGCCCTTTGCAGCTTTCTTTCATACCACGACACCATGTCATACACTGACCACCTCTCCGCTTTCTCCAACCAGTTCCAGCGTCGGCAAATAATGCACGACGTGGAATTCTCCGAAGCGACATTCGTAGAACATGTCCAAGCCACCGAAGTCGGTGTTTCAAGATGGTGACACCAGTTGCATTATCGTCTCTGTGCCCGAACACACGATGCCGAACCTCTGCATTACTAACATGGTGTCGCCATTGAATGTCAACAATCCTTCGGAGACAGCGATGATCGAACAAAGAGAGTCGTCTAACATCCTCAACTCGGAGAAGCCAGGTTTCACAAGCACAAGTAAAACTGCTCTCACCGACGCGTTGTAGATCCGACCTTTTACAGCCAGACTAACATCACGAAGGCGCCAAAGGTGGCCCAGATTGGCATAAGCCGCTCTGGCTTTCACTATTCGTGCATTGATCTCATCACTCACACCCCCACCAGCACTTATGCAGCTACCCAGATACACGAACTTCTCGACTACTTCTATCTTTTCACCATCCAGGGTGAGTACAGGATTAGAATCCTGCCAGTCTTGTAGAAGTACTTTGCACTTCGAAGGTGCAAATCACATACCATACCTACGGACACTGATTGCCAACTGATTAAGTGCGGATTGCATGCCTTGGGCATTATCACACTATAAGACCATATCATCCGCATACTCAAGGTCGAGAATTCTTTCTCCAGGCAGCAGATCCACACCACCATTACTTACATTCATCAGAGCTGTTTCCAGAATGTCGTCGAGGGCAAGGTTGAAGAGGAATGGTGAGATTGGACGACCCTGCCTAATCCCACTGCTCGGATGGAACAATGGAAAGAGGTGGTTGTATGCCCTCACTCTGCATGAGGCGTTTATATATAGGGTCTTTGAGATGTTAATAAACTCCTCAGGCACACCCTTCTTCAATAGACAATCACAGAAAACAGTCCTGTCCAACGAATCGAAGGCAGCCCTGATGTCAATAAACACTACGATTGTTGGCCTTTGATAAGTATGACAGTGTTCTAACATTTGGAGAAGGGTGAAGATATGATCAATACATCCTCTATCAGAACGAAACCCAGCCTGTTCCTCGCGAGTCAATCATTCTCGTATTTTGAACAACCTACGAAGTATGACGGAAGCCAATAGCTTGGACGCAATCGGAAGTAGACATATCCCCGATAGTTGTACAGGAACGACGTGAACCGTTTTAAAAATTAGGGACAACTATCGACTCATTCCATGACGTTGGTACACTCTCTAGTTCCCAGACCTTTGTAAACAACGTCGTCAGTTCCTTAGTCAAAAAGTCACCACCACGTAATGGAAACATAAGATTAACTAAAATTCAAGTAATTTTTTTTATAAAACTGGAATATTTACTATGATGACTGATCTATATTTTTTTTATACGTGAATTATGATGTTCCTGGATCTTTTTTTTCGTTTGAGTATATACATACATGAGTACAGAAACGCATCATCATGTTACATAAAAAACCATTCAGTTTAATGTCAACCATGTAGATGCAGCAAATTTTACAAGCTACTTACAACCTTTGCAGAGTCAGTTAGTCATACTCAACAAAGAACATCGCCCCCAAATGTCCTGTTACGTCCGACGTTAGGGAGACTCCACTCCTCCTCTCGAAATGCTCTCATGTTCGCGCGTATTCAGTCACTGACAGGGAAGTCCCACTCACTGCCTTCTTGGGGTAGGGGTTTATTTACGAAATTGAGAGGACGAAAAGCGAATGTCCGGTGCTCTAACCGGGTTGGTGGACACAAGAGGTCCACTTAGGGGAATCGAAAAACACTGATCCCAAATCTGTGGTCCACATAGATTCCTGGATCCTAACGAAATATATAGTGTGTGATGCAATTTTTAGTCATCGGCTGCTATGTGATTGCATCTAATGTTGTTCCACCGACTTGTGGATTAGACTTTCCGGTCAAATCAAGTGACTTGTGTAGCGCATAGAGTTATTCACAATACTATGCATTAGGTTTCCAAGATGAATTAAATTAAAACTGATTTCTCTCGTCTGAAAAAGCTGTTACATATTAGAAATCAGTGGTTTACTCAATGATACTTTAGGGCTAGGATTCTCAATACTTATTTTTGCTATTACCATGAATAGCCTTTAGTCGAACTCATGATCTCATCGCAGTGGTCTACACCTTGATAGTACTAAACTCAGCAATCGTTCACTTTGTGTACCAATAACATGTCTTGGTTTGACTGCTCGTTGCCATACAACTTCTGACCAGTCAACATTGTATATCGGAGCAGGAGGTGGTTGGAGCAGTTACTTTTATATATGTCCAAAGCCTCATCAAGTCACCATTCCTACTTAGAATTTTACGTATAAACTCAGCAACGCCCACTCAATGTTTAGATGTGTATGCGCGAAGATTATCACTGTACTTATGTCCACCAGATTCCTGATATAGTAAGGTATAGCTGCTACATTGATATACTGGTCTTATTTTCTCATCATGATGACCCAAATGAGTTATATTGACTGCAACAACCCCATGTAATTATTATAATACCAAAAACATTGGTTGGGAAGAAGTAAAACTCTAAGCAGTAATCTTGGATTGACGAATTGTCGTCCTATCAAATGTACTGGGCTGTGACTGGTAAGACGATTTCCTCAAATAATTTGTATCTACGTCAGAACTACACCACACATCCAGGTCACTTTAGCAGAAAAAATACTTTCACAATATGTCCAACTAGAAAGTGACTACCTCTCATACTGCTAACAGGACTCGACATGCTCTTGTTCACCATAAATTCCCATCACTAATGATAAGAATTTATCCTTATCTTGACGCTTTGCTAATGGTAACAATTGGAGTTTACGAAGCATTATTCTTGGTCTCCTGAAACCGTACTATAAATCACATGTAAAAACTTTTACCGTTCAAACTTTGAGTCGAATGGACAACAGGCCTCCTTTGCTATAACAAATCTCTCTCTACTGATGAATACTGTCTCCGAAAATATTCGGGGTTCATGTGCGCCTATTTACTTGACTACATCTAGTTAGTGTGGAGCACTGACAGGACTCATCCTCCATATGTCTAGGGTCTTGATTGTTCTTTCTCGTTGCTTTGTGGTGTAGCACTTAATTCGGGAGTGGAACATACTCCCCCTAAGCTGGATTTCAGTAAACAGTCACCTTTGTGGTGTCCGTCTGAACAGGAAGGTAATAAGACGTAAAGATAAGTAGACTCTTTATTGCATTTTTGTCATCTCTGTCCCATTGACTCCAGTTGAGAGGAAGAAGTGGGTGAATTTTATGCAACGTTTTCTGATCCCCTGCAAAAAACAAAACACTGAAAATTAATCTATCAGTCTACTCTTATGCCCAAGAAGATTATTCAAGAAAAAGTAGATACTAAGGTGACTAGTATTTCACGATGTCATAGATTGTCTTTGAGCCACAATCTTACTAATTTCAGTTCCTGAGGAAGTATCGTATTTTAACTTCTATAGCCTCTGATAACATTGTTTTAAGTTAACCTGTTTAGCTCAGGTAGATTCATTTATTATCTACTTTTTCGATCGTACACTGTTGGTTAGTGTAGCAACTATAACCAAGAAATGCTTTCATCAAATTGTGAAAAAAGTGATCTCGACTGCTGTTGAAGGTATTAAAGCGGTTGTCTTTTCTCAGTTATATATCTGAAAACGAAACTCAATGATCAACTGTTTTAGTTTGATCACACAACTCTTATGTGAGTACCCTTGAATTATTTGCCTCCACACTTTAAAAACTTTGCCATTCTCGATTGCAATCTGCGGTGTAAGATAAAGTATGTTATTTTCAGGGCCTAACTTTTTAACCCCTTTCTCCCGTTGTGAGAAGGCAACATTGCTCTAGAGAATGATTATTTGAAGAAAATACCTTATCACCGTCATGAAACAGAGCGTTTGACAGTGCTGCCACTTTGCCGTTCCTTAACCAGGTCCTAGAGGAGAATGCAGCTCGATCGGGTCATTACAATTAACAACTGCGACCACCACGTTAAAGTTTTAGTTACGATTATGCTTATTGGGTCTTCTTATACTGCTAAATTGACCCCTTCCTATGTAATTATAAATTAATAAAATGTAATTACTATGGACGGTAATAACAACTATTTAACCTTTTTATCAATGGTTATATTTTTCCCTGAAGCAACTATTTTTTCTCAAAAAATATATTTTGTAGACATAATACATGGGAACCAGAAAAAAATATATTAGACAAACGATTAATTGAATCATTTGAAAAACGGTAAGTTATCTTCTCATTAAATCTGAGATCATATCCCGATTTAGTCTATTCTCATAATAAAACAATGATTGACTCGTTTTGATCAATGCATGTATATATTGAAAATCGCTCATCGAATATCCGGTCTATTTTCACTACTGCAATTATAATATCTCATTAATATGCCTTTTTGAACTGATTCAATGAATTTGAATAGTCGCTACTTCTAACTACTTCTCTATAGTTCATGTGACGTTGGATCACTCGAATTGGTAGCCACATCATAACTAGATCGGTGGAAATGATCAGTACTATGGATTAGAAAAACTCAGTGATCAATTAATATAAATATTTTAATCCTACAGGAGATCAGTCACAACCTAATTGGCTCGCTTGACTACGAAGAGTTGACTGATGAGGTTTGTAATCTCAGGGAGCATCAAACTCGCCCTAAGGATTGTAGGTACACCACGGTGATAATTGCTAATCAACTTGTAAAGTGCTTCTTGCTGACTACATGTAGTTAACAATTTACGTCAAAAAACGAAACATCCAGTAGCTTAGATCAGTTTTCAAAGTATAACTTCATTGATCGAATTCGAACAACGTCAATGAATTGACGCACATTACTCACTATTCAATTATTAATTCCAATAAATATCTTAGTTTTACGAGATTGGAATTTGTTGGTAATCTGACTAATTACTTGAATAGTATAATTAATTTATTGATTTTTCGTTCCATCGTTTCAGTGAGAAACGTAAGAAAGCACAACAAGAATTAAATTCACACGAACGAAGTATTAGTTCAGAAAGTCAACGATCTTCATCTTTAAATTCACCAGATAATAAGCACTATGATTACCATCATGACAATATTTCTAAATCTAAAGAGAATGTATCAATGATCACAAGTCCAGAAAGAGTGTTATGTTCACGTGGTACAATAGAATGTGAAAGTCCTATTTTATCAAAAGCTTCATCAGTTTATACTGATCCAATTCTTTCTACTTTCCTTAATACTGCTACTACCTCTACAAAAGTTATTTGCAATGATGATTCTGATAATGTCATGAAAAATATTCCAACATCTTCATGTTCACCAAATTTATCGATAGATCCTATGACCAGTAATAGTAGTACTAGAACAACACCGAATTCGATTAGCTCACCAATTAATATTGAATCAAACAATAATAATAATGATTTGTGCTTTGATCGTCGTTTCCGTCGGACAACTTTACTTGTTGCTGCTGCTTCTGCTTCCGCGGCTAATGCAGCTGCTGCATTAGCACATTCTAGAATATCTGGAAGACAAACACAACAAACTACTAATATTGCTCATACGGAAAACTCTCAACCTGTAAGTTTTTTAAATCCCACTTCTATATACTGTTATTTATTTTCAATACATTTCAGTATATTTGTAATAATAGATCGTGAAGAGTCATTCAGTTATATGTAATGTAGAATCTAGCCTTTGTGTTCAATTCAGACCGCAATATCATATCAACATACAGAGGTGGCATTATCAAGACGAATACCAGAGTAAAGAAACAAGTTACAATGTCAAAGGTGGTTGAAAAAGTTTAGCATAAACAATATGATTCAAGAAGAACGGTTGAATTCCTAGCACAAAACGTATAAAAAGATTTGGCGGCGAAAGCCGTGTGCATGTATCTGTGGTGTTGAGACTGATTCTGAGCTATGCCGCTCATTGTATCTCCAACTACTGGTTACGATAATCCTACTAACTGACAGCCATATAGTCAGCATCTTCATTTCTCACAAACTTTCACCAGCCATTATTGCGTGTAGAAGTAGGTGATAGTTAACCATCTATACTGGTAACAAGTTGTCTAGTGTCATTCCATAGTTGTTTTAAAAGCCTTGCCAGATTTCTTAACGTATTTTTGAAGCGAGAGAAAACTCAAATAATATTATTCTGTTAGAGATTTACACAGCTTGCCACCTATATTATCATATTGTTTTTATTCTTTATGTTTTAACCAGGTTATCAGTCCGTCTCCAGCGGACATAACTAGAAATATAACCACTAGTACTACAAACAGTACTACTACTAGTAGTAGTTGTGGTACTATCAGTACTACGACTACAGTTACAACTTTTAATGTAACAAATGAAGAAAGACCAAAGATTCGTCTGACTATACCGCGTGATCGTATATTACCTTGTCCACCAGTAGGTGTATCAAGTAATTCTTCTTGTAATAGTCAAAATTCTTCACAATTAACTAGTTCATCTATAGAAGATTCAGATCATTCATCTTTTCTCGAATTGTCTACTGCACTCAAACATGATGATTCGATTTCAACTGCGACAACAACTACAACACATTTTATTGCGCCAGTTGAATTACCACGTCGAAGTAGTACAACTTTATCACCACATACATTTAATCCAACCGGAGGCATGCGTCTTCCAGAGATTCAAATTGAAAATTCTCCACAATCTTTTTACACAGATACAATTGGTACATTGAACACTTGTAAATCACCCAAATGGACTAAACAGACACCTTGTATAAATACGTCAAATATCATGCAATTGCCTAAACTATTTATTTCTTCTACTACAATCTCTTCATCATCATCAACACCATTCGATCTAATTATTTCTACAAAAAAGCGTCATCGGCAATTTAGATCTGAAAGTTGTTTATCTTCTCCAGGAAATGAAGAATATGAATGTACTAAAAAACGTAAACATTCACAAAAGAAAGACAAGCGTAAACGACGTCATGATCAAACTTCTGATTGTTATTATCATCACCAAAAAAGTGGTTACTCTTCATCATTCGAAGATTATAATGTGAATGTGAGTAAAATACGTCGACGTTCCGGTTCATCTACCTCATTAACATCATCATTATCGACAGATAGCTTTTCACCGACTATTTCAAATAATACATCACCTAATGAAGATTTTCCACGTTTAGCTCCATTACGTATACATTTACCAAGATCGCTCACTACACAATTATCTGGGCCGGATAGTTTATGTTCATATACTGACAATCATCATGAATCACTGACTGATTATCATAATCATCATCCTACACATAGACTTTCATCATCATCTTCATCGTCAACTTCCTCAACTTCGTGTAGAACAACAATTTCTACGAAACATTCAAATGATATGATCATTGGACAAAATCATATGTTATTACATAATACAACAAATCAAATTCATTCAAATTATAGAAAACAAATTCATCTTGTGCCAGAAATGTGTATCACTGATATAACTGTTGATGGTTTAACTATTAGCATTAAAGAATGTAGTGGTCCAGGAAATTTTTTCGGTATACCAACTAGTCAACTTGTTCAACATAATTGTTATAAAAATGAATATATTACTAATTCTGATGATGATGATGATGATTTTACCACCGTGACTACAGTTATTGATTCGTGCAAAATTCCAAGTACTACGGTGACTACTACTAACAGTACGTCTACAATTACTACTCCGTATACAATAACAGCAATGACATCACCAATACCATTAGCCACACGAACAATTAAACCATTATGCTTGAATTTAAAAGAACAAAATCTTTCCTCTGTTATCACAAATTAGATACTTCAATAGATGATAATTTAATCATTAATAATAATAATAATAATAATAGTATTAGTGATCTCACTACAAAAAGTGTAGATAATGTTAATTTATGTGATATTAAACAGGGAAATGTGGTTAGTAATGATAATGATAATATATTACAAAAGTATGTAAAAAAAAACTCACTCAGTCAATATGCAGATGAGAATGTTGCCCCGGATCAACAACAAAATTGTATAAATTATACTGTAAATCAATCAAATCTAGACATGTCTGATCTGTCATTACATTCCATTTCGCCAATTTCCAATCCTTCACCATTATTAACATCATCATCACCGGACACCACGTGTTCAGTTGCTGTCACGTCATTACCATCATCATCACCTGAGATTAATAATCTTCAACTAAGTACAATTTATGAAGAAACTGAGACGTCATCTACGACTATCTCATCAGTAGTATCACTTGAAAATGAACATAAAATTAAAAATGAAACAATCATCGAAAGCTGTTCTACACCAAATCCAACAGTGATCAAATCTGAAAACGAACTGACAATTAACCCATCAACTTCACCGATCATTGTTAATAACACACCAGTCCCTCATCATTATCAGCTCCATCGTCATCAACACCTGAGATTGTATTAGCTAGTCATTCACAATCTTCATCATCATCTTTTATGTTAGCTGCTACAGAGGCTATTATGAAAAGTTCATTGAATTCACCAAGTTCACCAGGACTTTTATTACCTCCAAGACGGTCATCTACACCAATTGAACATAGCCCTCCTTATATACCTCAATTATCATTTGTAAATTCATGTAAAAAATCTAATTTAAACGAAACATTATGTGAACCAAAATCACCTCCACAATTACATGAAACTACCACTTTGCATACTAACCAAACTAATGATAGTAATCTTTGTAAAGTAAATAATCCTATTACTTCAATCAATAATGATATCAATACCATGACTACATGTATATCGGTTTGTAAATCCTTGCCAACACTTGCTATTAATACCACTACCACTACTTATAATAATAATAACACTAATAATAATAGTTCACCTCGTAAAAGTTTAAATTTGAAACCTCCAATTACTACTACTACTATTACTGCTAATAGTAGTACACGGAATCGACCAATGGCAACTATATTTGGTCAAGTACGTAATCGTGGTACTACTAGCATTAAGTATTCTACTAATACTGGAGTTAATCAACTGACATCAACAACTATTAATAATACTGGTTTTGTAAATACTGTGGAATATTCTCCTTCACGTAAAACATCAGTCAAATCAAAGTATTCATCAACAACAATAACAAATAATTGGAATAATTATACTTGTGATACATTAAATTCACCAAAACCAATCGGTATGATAAATGCTTCACAAATGAATAATAATCGTAAAAAAATCAATGATTTAGATAATATCTATACATTTCCTGGTGAATCTCCTACATATACAATTCCAACTGGTAGTAGTACAATTAATAACACCTGTCATTTGGATACTGCGTCTTCATCATCTCCACGTAGTATAACGTCTATAGATTCAAAGCATACCAATTCTTGTGTAAGATCTAAATCCACTATTAAACAAAATCATTATCTACAACGAAATCAGGATGTTAAACGGTGTTTTTCCTCATCTTCACCAACATCTCTCACGTCAATATCTTCAACGTCATCATCGACATCATTATTGTCGACAACAACAATACAATCAGATTTAATGATAAAGACATTGTCACCGTTTTTAAATTTATCCACACTATCCTCTTCAGTTATTCATCCAAATAATAATAATAATGCTTCCTTACTGGATCAGTGTTTAAGCACACCATCTACTGTCATTGATAACCAACTACATAGTGTTAATAATAATAATAATAACAATAATAATAATAATAATGGTAGTAATGGTAATAATAGTACTCCCAGCTCATCGTATCTTCATAAAACGAATCCCGATAGTTCTGCATTAGCCGCAGCGGTTTGTTTGCAACAATTACAAATGCAAATGATGTGTTGTACCACTAATCCAACTGCGATGGCTGTTGCTTTAAATGCCTTAAATGGATTTTCGTCTAATTCCTTCATACCAAATATGAATTTTCCATCAATTCATATGAATCCTGACACTAGCCATCAAAATAATGATAATGATAATAGCACAGTAACTGCGACTACTACTACTACCAGTACTACTAATGCTAATAGTTCGGAATGGTTAACATCGAGTAATAATAATAATAATAATAATTCCCTAAATACATTTAGTCCTATGGATTCGAACTGCACATTACCTATCAATAATCCATCTCTGTTATTCTTTCCACATGAACATGGATTATTGTTAAATCCTTGTGGAATACCATATACTTCTTATCCTAATCATATTAGTAGCAATCATTCTGCAGAGCTCAGCATGTTTACTCAATTAACTGATTATATCGATGGATTTTCATTAGGGAATATGTTGAATCCACCATTGTCAAATCTAACATCTGGATGTCCGGATCTATTGAATTTAAATGGTATACACTTATCTCCATGTCTTAATACGAATTCGCTGATAAAAACCACCACCAAGACGACAACAACAGGGACAGTAAATGACATGTTAGATAATTCCGATCTACCAATTGATTTATCTGCGAAAAGATGATTTGTTTAAAATTTTTAAAATAGTTCTTGTACAGTTCTGGTTTTTTTGTTTATGACATACACTATAGAGCTTTCATTGTATATAGATATCAATATTTTTTAATCATATACATATATATTTATGGTTTAACATTATTAAAATATTCAGATTTATTCCATATTTATATATCATTACTGAAATACATAGAATTTAATTATTTTAGAATTATTTAATTTAATCACTATTCTCTTTTCTGCTTGTCTATTCCCTTTATCACTTGTCTGTCCATTGTAATTTGTAAATACTTCTTTTTTTGGTTGTTGATATTAAATTTGTAGTCAAGTAATAACAAATGGTAATTGACGTGTGTCACAGACTACAGCTAACATTATTGGTTATTAGTACTTTCCATTCTCATACATTCTATATTTCGATATTATGAGATTATATGTATTAATCATTGATTATTTCGTTCACTAATCATAATGAAATTTCATAAGTTGCTGGTTTTATTTCACAATTAGAATACTAGTAGTCACCTATCACGATTTTATTCGTTAATATCGATTTTTCAAATTACACAATATACGTACTATACTTTTTTCTTCTTTTTCTTCTTTGTCTCTTATGTAAACATATATACAAATTACTTCAATTTACTTTTATTCTTACTGGGTTTCGATTTTTTCACCTTAGTTATTATTTTCATTTCTTTGTTTAGTTACTAGTTTTGTTTTGGTTTTTCGCTTTCTCAGAGTATTTCAATATGTTTACATAAACATATATATATATATATATATATATATATATATATATATATATATCCCTTCCGAAAAAAACATCTACCACATTAAGTCAAGAAATCATAAAGAATAAACAAATACATAAAGATTACAGTAATGTATATTTTGTTTGATTACTTTTTCCGACTTCTTTTTTTGTTCGAACGTGTATTTGACTTGACAAATCCAACGGTAGAATGATATAATTTTATTACAAAAGGGGAATAAGTTTTCGTGAAATACCACCACTTATCTTATTAAGTTATTGAAATTAATCGTGTAGATAGGTGCAGACTAATTTTAGTTACATCCTTGAGATTATTGAGAACGTTGTATGAAATGGCTTACAAATTGGTTACAGCTATAATTTACTATAATTTCCCTTGATTACCTCGTCTCACCATGATGATATAATATCCCGATTTGAACAGATGCAAGTTCTCCACTTTGCGTAAGACTGATTAAAGACTCATTTTGACTGGTGTTGAGCTTCAATGATAACTGTTTGATTTCACAATTCCAGTTTCCATGTCTGAATACCAATCTACCTGCATTGGTAAAAAAAACAAAGCACCACAAGCCCTCGATGTCTTTTATACGAATCTGATCTTGGTGAATTATATTAATTAATTCACAATTGATATAGTCAAGCCTTATATTTATAAACACACATCGGCAGACATGATATCCGCACCCCATCTGAGGCATAGGACCAGGAACTCGAAATAAAATATGTCTCATATTTAATTTAAATTTCTTGTTTGGTTACTAGTGAACAGATTGACAAAAATATTTACGACCGGTCAAACATTTATTTTATTGTTGAATGATAACTATTCAATTAAAATGATCCTTTTTATTATAGAATGTTAATATGACTTAATAACAATTATATCCACAACAGAATTACGTTTTGTATAATTCTACTCTCGGTATATCACTCGCGTAAGCATGGAGCTCAGCAAGTCGCTACCTTGAAGCAAAATTAGCAGATCAATCTGCCTACTTCACACTAAATTAACATATAGTGCATATATGTACTGAGCATCGAATAATAGTAACTTGTCTAGCAACAGATAGATTAACTCATAATTAATATCGTGAGAATGCGCGGAAAAAGATCTCACAATAGATTAACACATTGCAAAAATCCTTTCTAAAAACTACTCCCATTAGTTCAAAACTGTTAGGAATGATTCACACACTTGATTGATTACACATTTAAAGTAATAATGTATATTAAGATTATTATCGTAGAACTAGTACGCTTAGAAATCTATTAATTAAATAATAGACGATCATCAAATTCAATCTATTTAGGTATTCATCTTATCGATGAGTCATAAGGTGGAATATTAATTCTCTTCCATGATTATGATCGAAAGTATCTCTGTTGTATTTAAGCTTCCATTTGAAACACTGACGCAAAGACATGATTCATAATTGTTCATGTCCAACAGTTGTTAACTTAAAACAGGCAATTGTCTTAAATGGATAAGCTTGTAATGATAATATTTGGTGTTCAGGTATATTAGTCCAAGTTCAAATCTGATAACAATCAATATTCTTTACATGGAAATGTGTAGATTGAAACCAAGTATACCATATTACGTAAAGAATTATTTATTATTAAAGTATTTTAAATATCATCTAGAAAATAGTTTGTTACAAATTTTCAAGATTTTCTTGAATATCCGACCAAGGATACATGCTATACATAAAACTGTTAGTGTTAATTTAACTGAACCGGATTTCAGATTGTTTTTTACATAATGTCAACTTTGTTGTTTAAATTCATTCGGAAAATTAGATGAATCAATTAAAAATGATTGTGTACAATTATACGACAGAAAATTTATTGATCAATAAACATTTCATTTGTACTATTCGACGAAGAAATGTACTCATATTGTTTTATCAAACTAGCTTTAAAAATCAAGGTTTTTGTTCATTTGTAAATGAAGTTATCAATCCTGTAAAAATGCATTTTAAGTGAAAATTTATCTTTAAAAATATGCATATCTCTGAAATACAAGTGTATGAAATCAACACATTGGAAGCGATCCAAGTACCTATGGATAAGGATAGATAAAGAAGTCTGAACAACAGTTTATTCGACAATTTCACGTTAGAAATTCACCAATCACAAGTGAATTGATTAAAATTAAAAATATCAATTAATCATGAGGTTTTATAGTCTTAGATGATTAACCTATTAAGAATTGTAAATAATTAGAAATGAAGAAATGGTGACATCAAGGATAAATTTGGGTTTTAAATGAAAGTCATTTATTTCTAAAATTGTTTTGAATATATGGAAACCAGGTTAGCAGTCCAAAAGTTAAGTGAACAGTGGGAGAACTTAAAATCAACCTGACGGTGATCGGAATGAGTGAAACCCGTTGGATCCAAGCTGGTCAAAAAAGGTTTATATTCGAAAGAGATGCCTCTGTACTCTGGTCACGAAGAAGATGCTACCCAATACTGTGCATCGATCAATGATAGCAACGATTTCAATAAAGATCAGTTTTATGAGAAACTGCAATCGATCATGACGAAGTGCTTAGCAAAGGACTTGACCAACATGATGGGAGATCTAAACGCCAAAGTCGGTATGAACAACACTGGGTTTGAAGATATAATGGGAGAAAGGAACAAGAATGGATAGAGATCTACATATTTACGTGCATTCAACAAAATCGTTGTAGGTGGCACAATATTACTCCACAAACGCATGCACAAAGCTACATGGGTCTCACTTGATCACATTACACAGAATCAGATCGATCAAATTTGCATCACTAGAAAATTCACAAGGTTTATAGAAGAGGTGAGAACCAGGAGAAGATCTAACATAGCTTCAGATCCCCATCTTATTGTGGCCAAGATGAACCTAAATCTAAAGAAACACTGGACAACTGGACAAACAGCATTACAAAGGTTCAATACAACCCTACTTCGACATACTGACAAACTCAACCATTTCAAGATAACTCACAACAACAGGTTCCAAGCCCTACTGGATCTACCGAAAGAAGAAGAATCTATGATTGACGACAACTGGAAAGGGATCAAAGAAGGACTAACTTCAATGTGTCAGGAAGTTTGGTTCTGGTTCTGGAATGGATCTCTATGCAAACTCTACCCAAACGACAGTAGAAAAAGGTGCAAAAGAAGGAAATGTGAGACGGCTATGTGACACAACGAAGAAACTAGCAGGGAAATATAGTAAACCAGAAACACCAGTCAAGGACAAGGAAGGCAAGACAAACACTGAGATTCAAGGACAGAAGGACAGATGGGTGGAACACTTCGAGGAACTCTCGAACAGACGGCTCCACTGAATCCACCAGCCATCGAAGTAGCACATACAGACATCCCTATAGATGTGACTCCGCAAACGATCGAATAAATCGGAATGGCCATCAGACAAGTCATGAGTGGGATTTCAACAGGACCTTATAACATACTAGCTGAAGCACTAACGTCATACATAAGAGCAACTGCAAACATGCTCCACGTATTATTCAAGAAGATTTGGGAGGAGGAACATGTGCTGACAGACTGGAAAGGAGAATATCTTTGTGTTTGTATAAATTAATGATCCCTTTGGACTACTCATCACAATATCTCATCACGTTACCAAAGAGAGATCTGTGCAAATGTGAGAACTACACAGACATCATACCACTATTGGTACCAGGAAAATTTTCCAACAGTGTTGCTGAACCGGATGAAAGATCCAATGAATGCCCAACTTCAAGATCAACAGAGAGGATTCCATAAGGATTAATAGTGCACAGACCAAATTACAACACTAAAGATCATCATTGAACAATCAATTGAATAAAAGTCAACATCATAGAACCTTCTTCGATACCATGGTGTGCTTGAGAGAATCGTTAAAATCATCTGAAATTCATACAGTGGACTACAGTGCAAAGTGGTGCATGGAGAACAGCTGACAGACACATTCTAAGTGAAGACCAGTGTCAGACAAGGCTGGTTACTTTCCCCCTTCCTCTTTCTTATGATGGCTGAATGGGTTATTAAGACGTCCATATTTCAAGGAAAGCACGGAATACAATGAACTACTTCTATGCAACTAGACGATTTGAACTACACAGATCAACCAAGCCTTCTATCCCATGCACACGAACCAATGCAATTCAAGTCAACCAGTGTAGTAGAAGCCTCTGAACCGTTAGACCCTTATATACATAAGGGAAAAAGCAAGAT